CCAGAGCCCCATGAGGCCGTGGCTTCCAAGCTGGGTGGCCCTAGTCTGAAAGATGGATTTCTCAGAGTGGGCGCTGAGGATTCTGGGAGACTCATTGGATGGTCTCGGTCTCTGTAAGGCCCAGGCTGGTGGGAATAGGGAGGGAAGGCCCTGCCAAAGGTTCAGGGCCTCATCTGAATCTTTCTTTATCCCTTTCTCATATATCCTTCATGAGGCAGTCATCAGGCCAGGGGGTGCTGTGTGCTCCTTGTCTTGCCTGACTGACTGCAGAGCAGAGAAAGCGTCCATTGTGTGCTCCAGCTAGAGGGGCACAGATCCCACAACAGGTGATGCTGGAAGAAGTCGGCAGGGGCCAGCCCTGGACGCTAGGCAGGAGCCAACCCTGGACGCTAGGCAGGAGCCAGCCCTGGATGTCAGGCAGGGGACAGCACTGGACACTAGGCAGGGGTCAGCACTGGACTCCAGGCAGGGCCAGCCCTGGATGCTAGGCAGGGGCTTAATGAGAAGGCACAAGATCTCCTTCAGGGGCAGCTGCTGATTTTGGAATGCATCGTGGCATCCAAGGGCCTGTCTTCCCTTCCCTTCCCTAAGCAGAAGGGCACACCCACACCCTCTCTCAACTACTCTTTATGTAACCTTCAAGATGATCACAGCCAAGGCTTTTGGATGAGTTGATCGAATGAGACATTGTGGGGGTCACTGGGCACCAAAGTTCCTCCTCCTCCCTGTGACTCAGGGAGACACCCGGGCCAGCTGTGCAACTGGGCCATTCCAGCATCTCAGACATGCCCTGCCCCCACCTCGCTCCCCGGACACCCATTCACCCCACAAACATCTGTGGGTGTCTACTGTGTAGTATGCCATCTCAGGTGCTGGGACTACATCAATGAACAAACCAGAGTGGTGGGTGAACCCCACTCTCAAGGAGTTTAAATTTCCCCTGAGTCAGAAAATATCAGAAAAATTAGAAAAACAAATCAGAAAAATCCAGAATGTGTCCGAGGAAGACATAGACGGGCTAGCGAGAGTTAGGCGTCCAGGGGGAGGGGGCAGAGCGTGAGTATGGGGGCGCGCTGTGCTGTGAAGGGGAAAAAATATGGGAGGGGTGGAAACTGGGGGTCTCAGGGGACAGAGGAGCAGATCAGGTGTGGAGCCCCGGGTGTGGAAGGAGCCTGCTGTGCCTAGGCAGCAAGGGACCCAATGGATGCAGCAAAGTGGGGGAGGAGGAGGTCCAAGGTGGGGGGACCTGTGGGAAGCATCTGGCTGCTGGATGCCAAGGGTGGGGTGGGGGGTTCCCACTCCTGCCTGCTAGCTGGATCAGAGATGTGGGCACAGCCGGGGATGCTGCAGGGGCATTGCAACAAGCCTGGTGGGAGGCAATTGTGTCTCCGCTGGGAAAGAAGGGCTCTGGGGCTTGGCAGAGGACTTGAGCTCTAGGTAAGGGATTCATCCATGAGACCTGGAGCTGAGTCTGATGTGTAAGGAAAGGAGTTTGTCCTGAGTGAGAACAATGAGAGAGGCTGAGGGAAGAACCTAGAGGCAGGGGCACCCAGAAAAAGAAGACGCTTGCACGTGTTATAGGATGAAGCGTCTGTTAGATTGCGAAGGGCGTGCTGTGGAAGCAACTGAGCATTCCAGTCCGGAACTCAGATACTAGGGCTGACAGGTGCAAATTTACAGTCGTCAGCATAAAGCACAATATTCAAAGCACGGAGGTTGTCTGGGCTCCTGAGGGAAGAAGGAAGAAAGAGAAGGCTCAGAGACCCAGCACAGGACGTGGTGGGGCCTGCAAAACAAAAACCGGAAGCAGGAGTCTTGGAGGATGCTTCTGGGGGACTGAACAATGAGTCAGATTCTGCTGAGTTGGGCCCTGAGGGCTGAGGCTGCTGCTGCTGGCTTTGGCCCCATGGAGGTTGCTGATGAACTGGATGGCAGAGTTCTCCAGAGTGCTCAGTGGGCTAGGGATGAGCTCGGTGGTAGACCTCACACTTAGCATGTACAAAGCCCTGGCTTCAGTCCAAGAGAGAGTGGGAGCAGACAGATAGAGGAAGGGAGGGGGTGGGTAGGGAGAGTGATGGGCAGCCGGGAGGCGTGTTGTAGGAGAGGAGCGTAGATTCTTAAAGAGCTTTTGCTATAAGTGAGGAACAGAGAATGATCAAGGGCTTTATGGTGATGGGGGTCAAGAGTATTCTGGGGTTTTATTTTTCTTTAGATGGGAGAAATTACAGCATGTTCCCATGGTGACACAACAGTCTAGTAGGGAAATCAGCACATGAATGATACACACGAAGATGAAGATGATAATGAGGGGAGGGGAAAGGACGCCTCTCCCCAGGTGACCACAGAGGCACTGGACACCAGTTTCAGGATACCTCAGCCCTGGGCCTGGACCTGTCTTTTCCTGGCCATGAGACTCTGCCAGTCCCACAACTTAACCCTCAGGGCCTCCAACGAGCAAGGCAGCTCTTAGAAGACCAGCCTTGTTTCCTCCCCTGGATTGTGGTACAGACACAATGAGGCAATAGGTGTGAAAGTGTTCTACAGGACACCATGGGTGGGACAGGTGGCAGGGATCACTTTTATCATTCTAACAACACAAGAGATTATTAAGCAGATTAAAGGCTTAGTACCTTCCACCCAGCCCTATCTGTACGCACAGCCTCCTCGCACAGCTTCCACGCTTGCTGCCACCTGATCCTCAGGAAGCAACGTGCATACCCTGGCCTTTTACAGAGCCCGCTCTTCTCCAGCTGCATCGGCTTCCTTGCCCTGGTTTGATTCCTCGCCTGACCCTAGCCATGGCCGCTCTCTGAGGCCTCCTGATGCTACTGCCTGGGTTTGTGGCCCCGATTTTGCCTTCTTGCCGTCCTGCTACTCCTTTTCCAGAACTGACCTTGAAGGAGAAATGCTCCTCCAGGTGCTGGAGTGGGCATCACTGGTTACCCTGGGTAACCATCATCTGGTTAAAGACATCCCACTTTAATTAGGAGTTAGGGTTTACAAGAAGTGGGATTTCCAGTGGAGACCCTGGGAATGGCACTAACGAGGTGCAGCACCCCTGAGTCTTGATCTCAGAGCTGGTCCTCCTGCTTTGGTCTTCCAAATGCTAGGATTACAAACGTGTATCACCATGATGGGTGGATGAAAGAGGAATTTTTTTTTTTGAGACAGGGATTCTCTATGTAACAGCCCTCGCTGTTCTAGAACTAGCTCTGTAGACCAAGGTGGCTTTGAACTCACAGAGATCCACCTGCCTTTGCCTCCTGAGTGCTGGGATTAAAAGTGAGCACCAACACCCCCTGGCAGAAGAAGCAATTCAAGGTTGTCTATCTTCCTGGGATGTATTGGAATTCTTGTCATCCATGAGTCTTGAATTGGTGACTAAACTGAGAACTCTGGTCACTTAGCAGGGCTGAGAGGGAGGAAGTCTGGCTTCCCATGAAGATGTTATGGACACCAGCTGTCTCTTGGGTGATCCTGGGGCACATGCTCAGGTGCTCAGGGCCTACCTGACCAAAGGGTATGTTGAGCTGTCTTGAGCAGATAGGATTTGGTCATGTTATCTGGGAACCTGCTTCTAGGAACTTCCCACCTGGCCGCTGCCTTTCATGGGCCTCTCAAGCCAGACGTCCGAGTTCTCAGCTTTATCCTACCACTTCCTAGGATGCCGGGGTGGCCTTGGGACGTTACCTGACCCCACCGAACTTCCTCTTTGTTGTGATCGCAGAAGAGTGAAACCTGTCTGCTAGGTGTGGTGAGAGAATTAAGAACAAAAGAGAGGCGGCTGGCCGAAAGTGAGTGCTCACTTTTAGCTGAGCCCCGGGTGTGCACGCCCATAATACCAGTGCTCAGGGGCTCAGAGATGGGAGGACTGCAAGTTCAAGGCCAATTTATTTTGTCTGTTTGTTCTTTGGTTTTTCAAAACGGGATTTCTGTGTGTAATGGCCTTGATCTGTCTTGGAACTCATTTTGTAGACCAGGCTAGCCTAGAACTCACAGAGATCTCCAGTGCTGGGATTAAAGGCATGCATCACTACCACTTAGCGAGGTCAATTTGTTTTAAAAAGGCAAATAGGTATATAAATGCACAAATAAATAAATTAGCTATTACTGTGAGTGACTTTGGTGAGAACAGCAAAGAACAATTTCCCTCTAATGAAGCCTTTCGCTAGGTATGTGAATCTTCCCAGACTGCCCTAGGACTGTACTGACTTAGTATATATAGTAGGCTGTCCCTGACACACAGTAGGCTATCCCCGACACACAGTAGGCTATCCCCGACACATACAGTAGGCTATCCCTGACACACAGTAGGCTATCCCCGACACACAGTAGGCTATCCCCGACACATACAGTAGGCTATCCCTGACACACAGTAGGATATCCCCTACATACAGTAGGATATCCCCCACATACAGTAGGATATCCCCGACACATACAGTAGGCTATCCCCGACACACAGTAGGCTATCCCTGACACACAGTAGGATATCCCC